AGGGGGGAGGGAATAGAACTTAATTAGTTTTTTTATACTCCTGTTTTCCGCTCGCTCGAATGAATAACATAGGAGGTCTGTTTAATAAGAAACCGGATTTTGGTGATAACACTAGCTTACCGTGCGGCCGAATTAGGTTTTCAGGGTCCGAATTTTGTCGGCTTTTCCACACGGAGTGCAACATCCATCGATGAGTTCAAACCGCATCACCGGCCAATCAGAAGCGCTAAGCCGGACTTAAGTGCAGTTGAGTCCCGTCCTAAGTATATTTAAGTACGGTGGAAGGACCGACAAAATTCGGCCCCTGGGACTTTTCTAGGTGGATATATACTTGAGAACGCTACATTAACAAATTTGAAAAATTCCAATTAGCTTTGTTTGTTAGTACTGTCATGAGAGTAAACCAGATACCACAACAGTACGTGGCTTGAAGTAAGGCATCTAATGGTTGTTTTTCGATTTTTATGTTTGACCTATAACTTGTGGCGCTTTTCTCGGTCTCGCACTTCCTTTTTCAACCCACCCGAATGAGTGGAGTTTCGCATAGCTGCACACCCAAGTTTCGTCAACGGAAATTATCCTATCAAAAATGTAGGATCATCGAACGTTCAAGAAGCTCAAGGGAAATTGACACTCGGTTGGATTTTTTTTTAACGGACAACAATTGCGGGACAAGTTTAGTGCCACGTCCAGAAATTAGCATAGCATAAATTAAATTCAATATCTGAAAACTTTGGACAAGGCAAAAGCTCTGAATAATGAAGTGCATTATTTTCAACACCAACTCTCTGTCATTTTTCCCCAGCGTTCTGAGTCCAATTCAGCTCAGTCGCAGGTGTGGAAACTGGAGGAGTTGATTGGTTTCGCTCCGTTACTTTTTAAATTATTCTTTCCCACTGCGACCGTTCAAATTTTGTCTTGAATTCCAAGAGAGCGTGAACCTTATCAAAAATTCAGGGAGTGTACTTTTTTTTATCTAGACGACAGTAATTTTGTAACTTGGGAGGGAGAGAGAGGACCTAAGAAAAGTAATGCGATTAGGTTTCGCGAAGTTTCGTATCCAGTTGCTTGGTCGAGAAACAATAGTCCTTTGTCCCGAACGAGCTTGTCTTTTCCAGCTTCTTTTGTTCCCCTCCGTTTCGTCCATCAGTTTTTATCTAGGACGTTTGAGAGCGGCAACTTGGTCCGTATTTTCATCGCGCCCCGCGCTAAGCGCTTCTCGCTCAGACAATCATAATCTAAATTTTACCCGCGCAAAAACTCCCCAACGCTACGGCGAGTCCACCTGACGCTATTCGGCGAAAAACCCTCCTACTGATGGAGAGAACAATTTCAATTTGCCTCAAAAGTATCTGCAGCATCCTCCTACTCAACTCCTCGCAGAGTTGCGAACTAAGCTTAGAAAACGCGTGGATACGGATTCGAGTGAGAAAACATTTTCAGATTCCGATAAGGTCAAGGATCGTGAAAGTTTTTTGCAAATTTCCTCAGATAATAGAGTTTGGTCAGGACATCGTTAAAAACAAGGAAAAGAAGGAAGACCTCTGTAAATATGGGCCGCAATCATGAATCTTTAAATTTTGCGTGTGTGTCATGCGTAGTGTTAGGGATTACGTCGTCCTTGTCTCTACTAGTTCTGATACTACTTTTTTTATTCGCTCTGTTGAAAAAAATTCAAAAGTTAGCGAAAATTCAAGATATGTAGGAGTGTTACTCAACTTGCAACACTAGAAAAGGAAAATATTGAAGTGATTTCTGTCGTTGAGATTACTACGTTCAGCTTTTTGTTATGGTATCAGAGGAAACGGTAGTAATGTCACGGATCAGACGGTTGCTATTTTATCATTTTTCTTCTTTTTGTTCTTTGTTCTTTGTTAAATTTCCATTTTACTAAAAATACAGTTTCAGTAGGTCTGCATGGAGAGGATGATATCGAAACGAGGCAATACACATTTCCTCGGAAACGACGGATTTGCAAAGATTGTAGGTGGAATAATTTTGCAGAAGATTTCTCAAAATAAAGAACATCAAAATTAAATTATAAGGTACAGTAATAATACTTAAACATTGTAAATACCAGGTAAGAAACCACGCAATGGACCACTAGACAAGGTACGAATTTCAGCATTCTGATGCATGTTTCTTAACCAAAATTTCACGTAAAACGCGATGCGCACGTCGAAAATTACCGAAATGAACTCCTTACGAAGATATTTTATGATTATTGATGCGTGAATTCAAACCACCCGCTCATGAAAACTCAATGCTCTACGTGATTCACATCGCGCGCTAAACGTTTATCATGATAGCCTCTACGATATAAAAATCTGAAAACCTCAATCTTGACGGTTTGGCTCAGCTATAACAAATTTCTTGTGGTTTGAGCAACACATGATGGAAAATGAACATTGCTCGATTGAGAATAGCTTGCTGAAACCGTTGTAGTGCGCGATTTCACTCAAGTAGAGCTTTGAGTTTCTTGTGAGCGGGCAGTGCAAATTCCTCGAAACCAATGTGAAATAAAAACGTTAATATCTTCGTGAGGAGTTGGTCTCAGTAATTTTCGTTGCACGAATCGTGGTCTACTTGAAATTCTGGTAAAGAAACATGTATCAGATTGCTTAAATTCGTACCTTGTCTAGTGGTCCATTACGACTGATCCTGGGTAAAAAAAACATGAACCAGGTAGATTTACTGCCGCGACACTGTCGCGTGCGTGGTCAGCCTGCCTTCAATTAGAGATGATACTTCACCGCCCGCATAAGAGTTCGAATAGTGGTATCACGCGTTCTAACCCAAGTCCAGGCCGGCAGAGGTGCCGGTGCTGCGCTGCGTTGATTTCGTTTTTTTTCCTTTTTTTCTCTTTCTCTTTTCTTTTTTTTTCGTAAACTTTGGACCTTCATTCGATGCGTTAATGTTTCGTATTCCTCATAGAATCATTTTCTATGTATGTAAGTATTCCTCACATAGTACAAAGAATCTTAGTGGTCACTAAATCTCTGAATATATACGATCCCTAGAAAATCTAGGAGCCCAATTTCAAATGTCTGTCAGTGTGTGTTATACATCCGGCCACGTTTACCGTCCGTGTGAGTAGTACTGTCAGAAATATAATACTCTCTCTTGCCGAGGTAGAAAATGAACCTTCTAACGTTACTGAATATACTTCGAAACTTCGATAAAATACGAATTTCCTGACAAACTCCTGGAGTTTTCTCTCCCAATATTGCCGGTTATTCGCAACTTCATCTGATGCGTCCGATAATTTCGGGAAAGAATTTTCTAAATTCTCCTTAAAACTAAATTTTTTATCTAAGGAGATTTCTCGTTGTTTTAGTGTGTTAGATGATTTTTTTTCTGAGTACGACAGTGCTATTACTGGATTTTCTATAAATTATTCATTCAAAGGCTCAAGTTATTACTAACTTCCTCTTTCATCCGCGTAGGTTTGTGTTCGGGAAAATGTCACTAATCGACTCGGAACTTGATCGTGTAAAGTTCCCGGATGGGCCATTTCATTCTCCGAAGACGGCTCTCTACGGCTGGGAATCAACAGTGAAACAAAACGAAGGATGCAATCAAAAGTTTCAAAATGGATACTTAGGCGAATCTCGATCCGGCCCGTCTTCTCAGTCCGGAGATGAGCTTTGACGATGAACTTTCTAATCGCCCGGTTTACGGGTGACTAATCGAATCATTTTTCACGAAACAAGCGATTTACTCCGCATCGCGTCACATCTTTACGACATTGGCGGCGGCGGCGCACAGTGGATCCAGTCAACAGGAGAAGTCGGACAAAATTTGGAAACTTTCAAAGCTCTTAACTCCGTTCTTACAAACTTATGAGGTTTTAAAAGTGGTCCCATTGGTTTTCTCGTGACATTTTCTCTAAGAGCCACCCCTCAAAATTTAAAATTTGACGAAATAAACATCTAAATTAGCACTTTTAGTCAAAAAATGCACGTGGGACCTCTCCGATTGATTCGGTCCATTGTGCGGCGGCGGCGCTGCTCAAGTTTTAACGACGCCACAATTTGGAGGCGCTCGCTCTGAGAAAATGCCGTCGCAACAAGAGAAATATTTGTTTGGACGCTGGGTCCCTGCAAGCGTTCCATCCCCCGCGGTCCCTCCACTCCGTCGTGAGCCCCGGACGTCATAGAGTGATGCCCGGGACAGGGCTCGCTCCGGCCCCGCCGACTCGAAAGTTTCCCGCAACAAAGTTGGGAGTCAATCGTGCCGAAAACGGGAGTGCGGATTTTCCGGCGTTTACCCGGCGTATGCTCGCCGTGCATTTTTTATCCGGAGCGAATATAAATTCATGGCATTGTTCCCCGGACGGACGCGGCCGGAGAGCGCGCTCGGTCACTGTCTGCTGCCTGCGTTTCCGTCCCCCGAGAGTCGGGTCTCCGATCGAGTTTGTTCTTCGTCTCTTCGTTTTAACTGCTTTAATTCGCCTGCCCCGTTGTTTTCGTATATT